CCCTTCCCCACCCATAGCTCCTCCCCCGCCCCACCCATAGCTCCTCCCCTGCCCGTTCTACAGTCCCCCCCACACCCATGGCCCTCCCCCTCCACCCACCCCACCTCCCTCACAATTTCTAGCCAATCCCTCCCCTCCACCTCAATCTCTCCCCTCCCTACCCAGAGCTCCTCCCTTGCCCTCCCTACCCTGCAGCCTCACACGCAACCCTAGGCCTGTCCATCCCCATGGCCCGCTGTCCTCCAGTTGGGCGCATCGGGGCCCCTGTCTCACAGCACCAAGGCTGAGCGCGTGCAGGCCCACCTGGGCACCGCATCACTCCTGGGCGTGGGCGGGAGCCCCGTGAAGCTTGGGCTGCGCAGGGTGGCACTGCATCCCCGGTACAACCCTGGCATCCTGGACTTCGACGTGGCGGTGCTGGAGCTGGCCAGCCCCCTGGTCTTCAACAAGTACATCCAGCCTGTCTGCCTCCCCCTGGCCATCCAGAAATTCCCTGTGGGCCGCAAGTGCGTGATCTCAGGCTGGGGTAACACGCAGGAAGGAAACGGTGAGTGCCACCCCCCGGGGAAGATGGCCTTGTTCTCCAGGCCAGGCCCAGGCAGGGTGGGATCACCTCTCTTCCCCCCGCTCTGGGCCCTGCCTGCTCAGAGGCCTGTGTCCACCCCCCGGCCCACCCCTGCTGGCTGCTTCTCTCCCTACAGTCCACATGCCTGTTTGTGGAGACTGACAGGCTCACAGTCCACAGCATTCATGCGGGTGCCACAGTGGCCAAGCTGAGCGGTGGCCACAGAGGCCGCCCGGGCTATGGAGCAGAAAACACTTAGTCTCTAGCCCTCTATGGAGGAGCTGTGCTGGCCACTGCCGCCCCATTCAGAGCTCCTGCCCCGAGTCAGCGTGCCCTTCAGAACCAGGATGGCCTTCCCATTGGGGCAGTCAGAAGACAGGCCTGGGCTCTGAGCTGGGGGACTGGATCTGCCGCCGGCTCCCACAGGACTTTAAACCAACTGTGATGCTGTAGGCCCCATCTGTTCAGCTGCAGCTTGGGGACAGCACCTCCGTCTCAGGCCGTCAGCACTAGGCCAGGCAGTTGGTGGCCACTGACTGAGTGCTTTTGGACTCTCCTTCTCGGCAGCCACCAAGCCCGACACCCTGCAGAAGGCCTCGGTGGGCATCATCGACCAGAAGGCCTGCAGCGTGCTGTACAACTTCTCCCTCACCGACCGCATGCTCTGTGCGGGCTTTCTGGAGGGCAAAGTCGACTCCTGCCAGGTGAGTCAGGGGAGGTCTCGGGCCTGGGGGACAGGAGGAGGCTCCGCGCCTTCCCCACTTGGCGGACAGGCCGTCTGCCTCCCCCTGGCCATCCAGAAATTCCCTTGGGGTCTGGGCTAGGTGCCAGCCTCCTGGTGCGGGGCTTGTGAAGCACTCAGGCGAAGGGGTTTTCCGTGCAGGGAGCCTGGAGGCATTCCGGGTGGCCCTCCTAGGAGACTGGTTGGGCTGTGGGCTGTGGCTCAGTGGGAAGCACTTTCACAGCTGTACCAGGCCCTGGGGCCCATTCCTGGGGCTGGACGAAGAGGAGTCAACAAAGCAAAGAATGAAAGAAAGGGCAGGGCAGTGGTGCCCACCTGGATCCCAGAGGCTCAGAGGCTCAGGCAAGAAGATCGTGAGTTCAAGGCCAGCCTCAGCAACTTAGCAAGGCCCTGTCTTAAAATAAAAAATAAAAGGGTTGGGGACGTGGCTCTGTTTGGTTAAGCACTCTGGGTTCAGTCCCTGGTATTGAAGAAGAAGAAGAAGAAGAAGAAGAAGAAGAAAAAAGGCAGCCGGGTGGGCACTACCCGAAGGGGGAACCCAACCAGCCCTGAACCTGGGCCCAAGTCCGGCTCACTGTCTCTGTCGTGCCTGGCAAACTGGGGGACTGACTGAGCACGCCAGGCAAGGGCTTGACTGCTGAGCTACACACCCGGCTCTGCTCTTCCATTTTTATTTGGGGTCAGGGTCTCACTAAGTTGCCCAGGTTGGCCTCCAACTTGAGATCTTCCAGCTTCAGCACCCTGAAGAGCTGGGATGACAGGCCTGTGCCACTGCACGGGCATCTGGCCCAACCTGTTATCAGTGGTCACCCTGGACAAGTTACTCTCTGGACCTGATTCTCATCTGATCACAGCAGAGCTCCTCTCTGAGAATCGCTGTGAGGACAGGCCTGCACAGTCATCTCCCACTTATCTTTAGGTCTATAACAACTACAGAACGCGTGCCACACCATACTGCATCTCTCTAGTCCACATATAAACAGTCAGCTCACGTGGGGCAGGAGGCAGGAGGCCACCTTTGGCAGCCACAGTGCTGCCAGCCTCAGGCTCTTGGGGGGGGGGGCATGGCTGTTCTTGTTTTTTCCTGGAGATTTCTGCAGTTTTTATTTCCGCTGCAACAAAAGCAAGATTGATGCGGCCTGGAGAGGGCAGCAGCCAGGGCCAGCTTGAGGGCACTCACCAGGCCCGGCTCTGCAGCCAGGTCTCCTGGTGCCCAGGCAATGCCCACCCCTCATTTGGCGGATGCTGGTTGGTGCTCTCCTTCAGGGCGACTCCGGGGGACCCCTGGCCTGCGAGGAGGCCCCAGGTGTGTTTTACCTGGCAGGGATCGTGAGCTGGGGCGTTGGCTGTGCTCAGGCTCAGAAGCCCGGAGTGTACACGCGCATCACCAGGCTGAAGGGCTGGATCCTGGACACCATGTCCTCAGGCTCCCCCCCCACGCCTCCCCCCACCACCTCGAGGACGCGGGTCACTTCCAGCTGCCTCCCCGTCCCAGGGGTCACCACCAGCAGACCCACCACCCCTGGGGCCAGCATCAGGGCCACTGTCCAGCCTGCCGACATGACGGTGTCCGTCACAAGCTCAACTGCCAGGGGAAAGACACCGCCTCCAGACACCCCGGAGTCCACCACGCGCTCCCAGCTGCCAGGTACAGGGAAGCCGGTGGGAGCTGCCAGAAGGGGACGGCTGGAGCCTGCAGCACAGCGGTTTCCTTCCGAGCCCCCCCCCAGCCTTCTCCTGTTTCTCCGCAGTCCTGACTGCCCAGGCACTGGGCCACGCTGTGCGCCAGGCTGTAATGGGGAGGGACTTCCACACGGGGAGGCAGTGGGGACCCCAGGACACAGCACTTGACATCAGGCTAGGGGTGAGGGGAAGACAAGCAAAGTGGAGATGTGGGGGCATGGGCAGCTGCTGGTGGAGGTGTGGGTTGAAGGGGACACTTCCACTGGACCCAGGCTGCCAGGTGCAGCAAGCCTGGGCCACTCGTGGCCAGGAGAGACCATACCTTTGCCCTCTGCTCCGCGGCGGGAGCTGGCTGTCACCAGAACCACAAGGGAGTAAAGCCCCCCCACCCCGTGCGCCCCCACAGCCTGGCTGCAAGCGTCCAGGAGAAGCTGCCCCCTGCAGCGCTGTCCTGGGGGCAACTGCACTGGGTGGCCCCGCTCAGCTAGTGAGCCCCACGTGGTCTGGGGGACGGTGGGGTGACCATCCACGTGGGGCTGCGGTCCTGTCTGGGAGCCAGCTGGGGGACACTGTGCCCTTCTCATCTCCTGCCTCAGTTTGCCCAGAAGCCCCACTGCACCTGAGCTCCCCGGTCCCGCTGTCACCACAGGCAACCAGGGGTCTCCCCACCCCCAGACCAGGCCTCCAGCCCTCCCCCCAGCTCATGGGAGGCTGAGGAGGTCACTCCCAGGTCACTGCCTGTCAGGGCTGTCATGATGGGCCTGGGGGCAGGCGGCCCTTCCCCCCACACGCATTTATACAGTACCCTGGACAAGTCTAATGGGGCCCACAAGGCCAGCCACACAGCCAGGGACATTAGGGTGGGCACAGCRAGGGAATCTCTACCGGGGGTGGCTTGCCAGAGGGAGAGAGGCTCCTGCAGGCATGGAGGACACGGGGTACTGTTGGTCAGAGCTCACCCGCTCAGCGCACATCAGTGTGGGTGGCCCTGGCCACAGCAGTCTGCCCTGCCAGGCAGAGCCAGGTCCTACCTCTGTGAAGACAAGGGACAGCACAGTGTGGGTGGTCACAGCAGAGCCCTTATGGGAAGTCTGCGCCTGGGTGGAGAGAGGCCCCGGGCGGGGTGGACGAGGCTTTGGACAGTGCCATCCTGGGAGTAAGAAGGCAGAGATGGCCTGGGGAAGGAGCATCTCTCACCCCACACACTGGCCTCTTGGGGCCCGGGCACTGACCTAGCTAACCTTTGCCCTCTCACTAGACACAGCCTGGGAGGTCCTAACTGGGGTCCCCAAAGGGGCAAGGAGCTACCCTAAACGGAGCCCCGGCCCTCACAGTGCAGGCCACCTGCCTTCCTAAGAAGAGGGGAGGTGCTTCCGCGGGTGTCCGAGGCCGGCAGGGGGCACCGCAGCCAGCCCTGCAGCCTGCCCCTTCTTTCTGTGGGGGACGCCAGCCCTTCCTTTCCTGGCCACCTTTGTGTTTGCTGAGGCAGGGACAGGACTCTCCCTAAGCCTCCAGGACAGGGTGGCCACCTGGGTGGTGGGAGAGGGCCCGGGAAGGGGGTCTTGCCAAGACAAAGTGCCCTGCAGGAAGTGGCTACTGGCCTAGGGGTGGTTCCCTGCAACCCCCAGAACCACCCTGTCCCCAGTGTGCACTTCGTCAGGGATGTCATCCCCTTGGGGATGGGGACGATCCTGGCAAAGAAGGGTGCACAGGGCACCGGGAACCACAGGGCTGTCCCCCAGGGCAAGAGGGGACTCAGTTACCATGGGCTTGAGACACACGCAGGTGGCTCCGGGATGGGCCCAGGAGGTGCTGCCCTACGGCTGAGCTAACCAGGAACACGACTTCAAACGTCAGCAGACAGGCCAGAGGGCTCCCTGCAGGACCAAGAGCCAGGCCTAGCCTCTTGGGGCAGCCGCCCACTGCCCACCCCTCTGCCCCAGAGGTCCCCCTCACTGCTCACTTTGCCTCCCTGCAGGTTGCGGCCTGTCACCTGTCAGAGCACTGGCCAGGATTGTGGGTGGCAGTGCCGCAGGTCGAGGTGAGTGGCCGTGGCAGGTGAGCCTGTGGCTGCGGCGCAGGGAACACCGCTGTGGAGCCGTGCTGGTGGCAGAGAGGTGGCTGCTGTCGGCTGCACACTGCTTTGACATGTGAGTCCGGGCCCCCGCACGCTGGCACTGTCCACACCACTGCCTCCCCTTATGGCCGGGATGCCTGCCTTGCCATGGGCCTCTGCCGGCCAGGTCACCACTCCCCAGGGCATCCGCTGGTCCACACCTGGCGCGGCAGAGCCCATGGGGGAATGTCGCGCTCACTTCTTTCCCTCCCCTTCCACCTTAGTGCCCCTCCCCAAGAGGACCTCTCCCTGGCAGGGTGATCAATGGAGGTGAATAGTGCTCCAGAGGGGAGGCCCAGCTCAGGACACGCCCCCCAAGGGACTTGGCGTCAGAGGGGACAAGCAGGCTGTAGCAGGGGACCTCATGGCCCCCACAAACCCCCTTCAGAGTACCATTTTGAAAATAGGTCCACCCTGTGGGAGCAAACAGTGGCTGACCACATTCCAGGTGTGGGTTCCCCTTCATCTAAAAGGGAGGGAGCACTCTGGCCCCATTTCCAGAGGAACTGCCTTTGGGCAGGTGTGGGGGCACGGGGACACCGCAGAGGCAGGGCTGTGCACCAAGATCTGGGCCGATGCCTGTGCTGGCGCATCCCACAGCTACGGGGACCCCAAGCAGTGGGCGGCCTTCTTGGGCACGCCATTCCTGAGCGGCGCCGAGGGGCAGCTGGAGCGCGTGGCGCGCATCTACAAGCACCCCCTCTACAACCGCTACACGCTCGACTACGACGTGGCGCTGCTCGAGCTGGCAGGGCCGGTGCGCCGCAGCCACCTGGTGCGGCCTATCTGCCTGCCAGAGCCCGCCCCGCGGCCCTCCGAGGGCACGCACTGCGTCATCACCGGCTGGGGCTCCGTGCGCGAGGGAGGTAGGCACGGGGAACAGGGTGGCAGGGCTGGGGGCGGCTGGCCAGGCGCGGTCCGCACCGACCCGCCCCCACTCCCCTCGCAGGCTCTATGGCGCGGCAGCTGCAGAAGGCGGCGGTGCGCCTCCTCAGCGAGCAGACTTGCCGCCACTTCTACCCGGTGCAGATCAGCAGCCGCATGCTGTGCGCTGGGTTCCCGCAGGGCGGAGTGGACAGCTGCTCGGTGAGCGCCCCAGGAGGGCGGTCCCACTGCCACCCCACTCGGGCATCCTTCCCCAGGGTCTTGACCACAAGGACGGGCAGGCAGAAAGAGCCCATCCGCAAACACCCGCCAACAGTACCAGTGGACCACCCTAGTGTGGAACCCATTTCCCAGATGAGTGAAGCTCTGAGGAAGCCACTCACTTGGAGTCATTCCTGTAGTGGTCTGTTGTTCAGGGGTGCCCAAGTCAGATGGGCCCTCCCGTGGCCTAAGGGCAGACAGGGAGAGATTGGCCCGAGTAACCCTCTCTTCTCTCCCACAGGGTGATGCTGGGGGACCCCTGGCCTGCAGGGAGCCCTCTGGCCGATGGGTGCTAACTGGGGTCACCAGCTGGGGCTACGGCTGCGGTCGACCTCATTTCCCAGGTGTCTACACTCGGGTGGCTGCTGTGAGAGGCTGGATAGGACAAAACATCGAGGAGTGACCACCATGTGGCTGTCCAAGCCCAGGACGTTAGACAGGGAGGAGGAGACACTGTCCACCCAGTCTGCAGAGAGGATGCTGGGTGGTGGGCAGGCAGGGAAGGAGGGAAGGGTATGGGGGGCAACTGGACAGTGTACTTTGTTCCAATAAACACAGCCTCTTGCCCCTGGCTCCGCACCTCCATGGCACAGGAAAAACCTCATCCCGTCCTTTCCCAAAGGTGCAAGGGAGGGAAATAAGCCCTAGAGAGAGGGGCAGCTCCCTTACCTGGCTGTGGGCCTCACGTGTGGTGTTTGGCAACGCCACCTATGAGCCAGCAGCCCAGAAGCAACAAGGGGAAGCGGATGCCCCCAGGAAGCTGAGGTCCACTCTGAGCAGGGCGCTCAAAGGCATACGGCTTCTCCTCCCACATAACCCTCAGGAAGGAAATTCATGGGATTTTCTGTCCCTCAGTCAGCAATTTATTGGCCCATCCTCAAGAGACCACAACTTGAGTGGGGCCTGACCACCTCCCACCGCACAAGAGGTCCAAACAAAGGATTCTCGGCCCAGGAAAGGCGGCTAACCTAGGTACTCCGAGAGAGAGGCCGTGGACTCCCAGGCCTCGGGAAGGGCACAGACCCAGGTTGCACTCGCTGGCAGAGGCACACCTCAACTGTCCCTGCACTGCGCCGCCCTCATAGACCATGGGCGGTATGCACTGTTGGCTCCCGCCTCGGAAAGCACGTTGATGGATATGAGCCCGGGTGGGCGACTCCCGTGGGTGGACTCCCCGGATGGTGACGTGCCTCCTGATTACATATTGGCTCGTTCCCGCTGCAGCCGCGAGTTGTAGGCGCGGGACACGGTGTTCCAGGCGTCCATATAGCGGTCCATGCACATGGCGATGCACTTCTGGGGGCGGGGAGAGGACGCAAGGCTCGGTTCTGGCCGTGTGTGCAGCGGTTCACCCGCCCCAACTCTAGGCCATAGGGCTGCAACGGCGCACGCGCAACAGCTCCGGCCCCCCACCCCCACCCCGCGCACGCGCAGACGCCTCGCCACCCGCGGCGGGACCCGGAGATCCCTGATCCGGACCCCCGCACGGGGTCTCACCTGCTCCGAATTGTCCAAGGAGCCCCCCGGCTTCCCAATGCACTTCCGGAAACACTTGTCGGTCATCCTCTGTGGACACACGGGAGGCCTCAGTCGCGACGCCACTCCGGGGCACCCCCAACCCCGGCCCCGCGGGCCCCGTACCTGAAGCAGCTCCTGCGCGTTGGCCACGGCAATCTGCACCTTCACCTGCTCCATGATGAGCCCCGGGTCCAGCTTCCCGCCGCCGGAGCCCCCGAAATCCGAGCCGAAGCCGCTCTCCATGGCTTCGCCGTCCACCCGGCCGCGGCCGCGCGCGCCGACCCACAGCCGCCGGAAGCCGGGCGCCCAGGGCACCACGGGAAACGGAGCCCGCACCGTAACTCCCACAAGGCCGCGCGATTCCTACGCGCACGCGCGGGGGCCTAAGTCCCAGCGTCACTCCGCGTCCAGGCCCCGCCCCGGCCCGCCGCGCCTGCGCACCGCGCGGTGGGCGTCAGCCGAGCCCCCGGGGCTTCAAACAGCCGAGAGGAGGTCTGCGCGGCGGGCGGAGTCACGACGGACGCTCGCCTCGGTGGGCCCGACTCTGCGCTGGTTAAAACCAGTGTTTATTGGAGAATCGTACAAAAGTCACCGGTCACAAAACGTGCGTCGCAAACTAGTGGAAGGGGACAGCAAAGCCGCACATTCGACACGCAGCTCAAAACCCAGCCACGCACGCCAAAGGGCGCGCGTCTCCCGGAGTCCACGGCCCAGCCCCAGAGGGCGGGGCAAGCTGTCTCCCAAGAGCGGTGGCCAGGTCCGCCGAGGGCTCAGCTACAGACCACCTCCTGTTGGCCCGGGGTGGGCATTGGGCCAGTCACGCACCTGGGCTCCAGGAGCCCAGGACTCTGCCTGGCGCCCACCCCCTCGGGCGGCTGGCTCCAGCAGGCGGCCCTGACAGGCAGTGAGGCCGGCAGCGCGGGGCCACGGCAGGACAGGCAGTGGTGCTGGGCACGGACAGCAGCCTGGCCTGCCTGGACCTTGCGAGGAACTGTCAGTGGTCACCACATGTGTGGCCAGGGGCTTCTGAAACCAGGAAAGCTGCACGGCTCCGCAGCAAGCGTGGCGGGCACTGGTGCTCTCCCTGCCTGGGGCTCAGTTCCCAAGGGCAGCCAGAGCCAATGACCAGAGAAGCACCACACTTGTCCAGACTGTAGGGCGGGGCTGTTTTGTGTCCCACCGCTACTTTCTGGGGACAGCGCATGAACGTGGCTCAGCATCAGTGTCTGAACTCCAGCTGCACTTTCCGAGGGAGGTCAGCCATGTGAAGGATGGGGTGCTCATGGAGACAGGTCCCCCACCCCATGCCATCCCTGGGAGGATGGCCTATCTGACTGTCCTGGTGGCCCTGGCAACCTGCGTACTCACAAATGTAAAAAAATAAATATCCATTAAAAAAATAACGTGCCTATGAGGGAGTAGGCGGGTGTGACTGTAGAAGGGGCTGCTGGGTGGGCAAGGCCAGGCGTGGGACTCGGCCGTGGAGACAGGAGTCCATTTTCACCTGCATGTCTGAGAAACATTTCTTCACAATTCACCAGCTCGGCATGGTGCACATGGGAGGCAGCAGGGGCCTCCCCCCAGACTCTGGCCAGGAGGCAGACCCACGCTCCTGTGGGAGGGCTGGGAATCTGCTGTCCTGCACTCAGCTTTCTAACACTCATGACCTTTGCTCCCGAGGTCAGCCGTGTTGACCAGTCTTGGGAGTGTCCTCCTTTCCTGCCCTGCTAGCCCTGCAGGATCAGGGTGGCAACTGGAAAGCTTCAGAATTGAGGCCCAGAAAGCCAGGTCGGAGAGTCCCAGCCTGCTGCCCACAACAGGACGGAGGCCAGACCAGCCCTGCAGGCCCTGGCTATGCCAGAGTGCGCCCCCAGCCCCAGGCAGCCCCTACTTCAACGCGCTCAACGCAAGGATGGCTTCCGGGTGGCTGAAGTGGAACCACCAAATCTTGATGTGACAGTGACAGTGCCCCCCCCCCAACCAGGTCACAACCTGGATTCTGAATTTGGTTTTTAAAAAGCGTTCAAGAAACCCTACAGCTATAGAATCCCTGCAGTTTCACATTCTGTCCACCTGAGCCCCCAGCGGTGGTTTCTGTCCCCCCTCAGGCCAGGTCCGCCACAGCACCCAGGCCCAGCCCCTCAGCCCCCAGGGTCCCCGGGGGTGGAAGGCCGTGGGATGGCGAGGGTGGGAGTCTGAAGTGGCAAGGTGTGCCCAGGTGAGGTCAAGGCTATGCTGACCCGCGTGAGTTGGCAGTTTGCTTAAAAATCAGCTAGAAACAGACCAAAGACTAAGGAAAGCCAATGATAGAAAAATAGTTTTCAGTGGCTCTGGGTGAGGAACAGTGTGTGGATGCCGAGTGCTCCGTTACATCAGGCAGCAGCCCCTCGAGGTGGTCCGTGGGTCCCCCTGGGAGGAAGGAAGCAAGGATGGCAGTCATGAGGCCCATCCCGCGAGGCAGGCCTGGCTGGGCTACCCAAGGAGGCAGGGTGTGCTACCGGTCCCTATTTCTAGAACCTTCCATCCCTCCACTACCCTGAGCTACACACGTCCATGTCCCAAACCAGAGGTATTTTAAACGAGCACTAACTTGGCTGCGACTCTGGTGCCAGGCATTCTGCAGGCAACTGGCACCTGAGCCAGGGGACGTGAGACACCCATGTCTTGGGGACCCCACAGCCAGCTGCCCTGATGTCACAGAATTTGCACAGCGGGAAGGAGGCAAGAATACCACCCCAGCCCTGCCTGGGTGGCTGCACACCAGGGGATGGCGGGATCCGGGCCCTGCAGCCCAGCAAGCATGTGAGTGCACGCATGCGTGTACCCAGGGGCTCTGCCCAGGCAGCAAGTGGGCACAAGGTCACTACCTGCTGGTGGAAAAGATCCTCCTCGCCAAACTCGGCTTCCTCTTCCTCTTCCTCCCCGTTCTCGTTCTCCCGCACCACAGAAGACTGCTTCACTGCTCTTGTGGCCACTTCCTGCACCAGATGAGGACCACCAACACTCAACACTGAGGCCGGAGTGTCCCGTGTGACCAGGTCACTGCTGGGCTGCAGCCTCCATGCCGCGGGTATGGCCCCGAACTCCACCCCAGGACTGTGGCCCGTGGAGGGCAGGTGGGGGACGCGCGGTGCACCCCACCAAAGGCTCACACCCACCTCTCCATCGGCGTTGACCAGTACAGTGCGGAAACTCTCGCCCGAGCCCCAGCTGCTCTGGCTCTTCCACACCAGGGTGGCGGGGGGCTGTGGGCCACCCCAGCACCAGCTGCCCACACCTGTCAACCCAAGAATGCCCTGCTCAGTCTTCTGGATCTGGATGTGGACAGCACCTGGTGCCCAGCCTGAGGCCCTTCAGTGCCCGAGCACTGCAGCCTCACTTGGGCTTGCTCATGGATGGGGGTCCCCTGTGCCCACCAGCCCAAACAGCCAGGTCTCAGCCCTGGCACCTCTCCACGACCCGCAGCTGACCCTGGGGCAGAGCTGGACCCTGCAGCACCCAGACGAGGCTGCTGCCAGCCTCCCACCTGCCCCTCCCTGATGCACCTACCGTGACTGTCTGGCCGGCCCGCAGGACGTACTTGGGTGTGAACTTGTAGGCGATCTCATCGCCCTCGAGGACCTGCCTCTTGATCCTCCAGTTCCCCAGGGACTGATCCTGGAAGGGACACACACACAGGTGACCCGCAGGCCACCAGTACGCGGCACAGGGCTGTGCCCTGCCCAGCAGCTCACCTTGTCCGAGTTGTTCTTGAGCCTCACGAACCTGCCCTCCAGGTCAATCTCCTCGATGCTGACGCTGCCGGTGGCCGAGGCCTGCTGGGCCAGGCGGAAGCTGCTGCTGCTGCCCGAGCCAATGCTGCCCGAGCCAATGCCACTTGAGCCGCTGCCTGGGGGCTCCTCCGCCTCCAGGCGCCGGCGCTTGCTTCGGCTTGAACGCCCAGCTGTGGACATGCTGCTGCTGCTGCTCGAGGTGGCCCGTGAGATGGTGACCCGTGAGGAGGGGCTGGGAGACAGCTTCAGCCTAAGGGTAGTGTGGAGAGGTATGACTGGTGGCCCGGAAAACGCCAGGCCCAGGATCCGCGACCCCCTGCTCCTGCCGCCCACCTCTCCTCCTCGCCCTCTAGGAGCTTGCGGTAGGCGCTGATCTCCATGTCCAAGGTCAACTTGACGTCCAGCAACTCCTGGTACTCGGCCAGCTGTTGCTGCATCATATTACGCATCTCCATCATCTCCTGCTCCTTGGCGTCCAGCATCTTCAGGAACTTCTCCCGCTCCCCAGTCATGGCCCCTTCTAGCTCTCGGATGCGGTCCTCAGCAGCACTGGCCTGGGAGGGGCAGGTGGCCAGGTCAGCCCAGCCTCTTCTGGGGCTGCCCCTGCTGGGACAGCAGGTGAGCAGGCCCCCCAGCACAGTGGGGACAGAGGCTGGGCTGTAGAACAGGCTCCAAAGCTGGCCCGGTCAGCGCTTAGCACTCAGGGCTGCCCCCACCCAGCCTGGCCCCAAGGCAGGACACAGGACACGGGCCTTACCTGCTTCTGGAGGCTGGAGAGCTGGTAGCTGAGGGACTCGACCCGCATGCGGGCCTCCTTCAGCTCCTCACGGGCAGCGCTGGCCGCCTTGTCATTCTGGTCAGAGCTCAGCTTGGCATGGTCCAGCTAGGAGAGACGGGAGGTGAGGCCGGGGATGGGGAGATGGGGAGGTGAGGCCAGGGGCGGGGGTGCGGGCCGCACCTTGGCCTGGTAGGTCTGCTCCAGCTCCAGGCGGTAGAGCCGCACGTGCTCGTCCTGCTGGCTGCGCAGCTCCTCCAGGGCCTGCGCCAGGCGCACGTCGTACTCCTGCTGCCGGCCGCTGTCCACCTCCACCAGGCGCCGCTCGTGCCGCCGCCGCGTCTCCCGCACCTCCTGTGTGGCGACAAAGCCTGCGGTCCTACAGCACTGTGGCTCTGAGGTGGCCACCGAGAGAGAGCCCAGGAGGAAGGCAGGGGCCCAGGGGAGCAGCCCACACCCCAAGCGCCAAGCCTGAGTGCTTAAAAGTGCCCCTCTCAGGTCGAAGGCCAGACCCTGGCTCAGGGTAAATAAAGACAGAGCTGGGGTGCAGCTCGCTGTGGACTCCCCGTGCCCCGTCTCTCCCTCACCAACCTCAGAAGCTCCAGGCGTCTCCCTGCTACTTGTTCACAAATGTTCACAGGAGCAGCCCTGCTGACCACCAAAGAGTGGACACAGCCCAAATGGGCATGGGTGGACGAAGGGCCACGGTGTGGCCCTCCACCTGAAGCGTCACTCAGCCACAAGCAGGAGCCAGGTGACACGGCTGCACTGCACATGGGCCGAGGACCTGGTGCTGAGAGCCCGACAGACAAGTGACAGAGTCAGAGACGGATGTGGACTTGTAGGCGCTGGGCTACGAGGGATGGGGGATGCTCATGGTCTGGGCTTCCTTTTGGACTGATGGAATGTTCTGGAATTAATGGGAAGAATTGATTCTAAAAACACTTATTCTACACTTTTAAAAAAGGTGAACTTTATATCACCTGGGGATCGCTTCTCTTTAAAGTCGTTCTTTGACAGTAAAACAGATTGTCGGCTGGGCTCAGCGGTAAGGAGCTGGCCTAGCACCCGAGGCCAGAGCCACGCCCGCATCCAGCTCAGCCTCGGAGGCAGCGGCAGGGGATGCAAGTCCTGGCTGGGGGATGGCTGGGGGATGGCTGGTCCAGTCCCCAGGACCCCCCAGCACACAAAAGACCACGAATGGCTCGAGCCAGAGGCTGGGCCTCGCCAGAGGCCGGATGGGACACTGGCAGCAGGCCCAGCCAGGCATCTTCGCTGGCCACACCAGGAGACCTGCCCGGGCACAGGGTCGAGCCCTGGGGGCTGCTGGCCTACAGGGACCGTCTGAGGGCGCCCGGGCAGACACCCACCTGCACCCGGTGTGCCCCCTCCTCGGCGCCCCTCCTGCGGGGGCCCTTCCCGGGCGCCTGCGCGGCTCCCCTGCGCGGCGTCTCCCCAGGTGTCTTCGCGGCTCCCCTAGGGGGTCTCTTCATGGGCCCCCTCACAGGTCCTCCCACAGGTCCCCATCCGAGTTTACTCAAGGACGCCTTCCCAGGTCCCCTCGGCGGGTCCCTCAGGGGGATCTTCCCAAGGCCCCTCAGGAACCTCTTCACTGCTTCCCTCAGGGGTCTCTTCACGGGTCCCCTCACGGGCTCGGGGTCCCTCATGGCTTTCTTCACGGGTCCCC